CCCGTAGCCCTTGTGGGGGGTGGCGGCGGCACCGGCTTGGGCGCTGTGTTTGGAGTCCCCCGGGCGCTTGGCCGCGGTGCTGGGGCCGGCGCCGAGCTGGGCGTGCAAGTGTTTGTGCGAGTGGTGGTTGTGGTGGTGGTGGTGGTGGTTGGACGAGTGGCCCTTGTGCTTCTCTTTGTACTCCCGGCTCTTCCCGCCGCTCTCATCCGCGGAGCCGTGTCTGTCTCCGGGGCCCGGCACCTTAATCCGCATCTTGATCTCCTCCTGCTTGGAGGGGATCGGCCTCTCCGCGCCTCCCGCCGCCGCCGGGATCCTCATCTTGAGAGCCTTGTCACCCTTGTCGGCGCCGGGCGGGCGCTCGGGGTTCTCCGGCCCCGCGATGGGGATTTTCAGGACGATTGGGGAAGGGTTGCTGTCCTGCTGCCCTTCCCTCTCCCGCTGCTGCTGCACCAGGAGGTTCTGTGCGGCGTAGGCGTACTGGGAGCGCACGTTTGCTTCCATGTTTTCCAGCTGCCGCTTCTGTGCCGCCAGCTCCTCGGCGTGCTTGGCCCGGTATTCCTTGAGGGACACCTTGGCCGAGGGTGCGTTCTTGGTGCTCTGCTTGGGGTAGGCAGCGCCATCCTGCTGCGGGTGCTCAGCAGCCGACGTGCTCTCGCTAGTCCTGTGGATATCCAGCTTGGCCGGGGGATGCCAGTGATCCGCCTGGGATGGATCCGCAGCGCTCGGCTCCCCGGGGGAATCGGCTGCGGCCGGCAGCGCCGGCCCCGCTCCGGCGGTGGAGGATGTGGACATGCTCATGAGCCCAGCGATGTTCATGTCCGAGCTGTTGTTCCTGGAGATCATGTTGAGGATTGTCTGCTCTGACAGGCTCTCGTCGTCGCCGTGGTCGTCGGTCTTGGATTTCCTGGCTGCTTGAGAGGCCTGGAATTAAAACAAATCGGCGTGTCTTTACTTGGGGTGTCGCTGGAGCTGGTTTAATCCAAGCAGCTCACCAGGACAGTGCAAGATCTTCTTTAAAGACAGATCCACTTTGCTTCCATCCCTCCCTCTGGTAAAATTCCCAACCCCTGGAAGCAGGGCTGCTAATGCAGCTGGAAAACCAAAGTTCTGTACAAGTTAATTCACAACAGACAAACTTGAGCACCACAAGCACCACAGCATCCCAATTCCACACACAACTCCCTCCCTTGCCATCCTGCACTGGGATTCCCAAAGGAATCACAGCCCATGTCCAAGGTCCTTACCCGCCAGTTCCGGATCCGTTTCAGTCGGCTGGGAGTTTTCTCGAGGATTTGCAGGAATTCATGAGTCAGTTCTACAGAGGAGACACAAACCCAGGCGGGAGGGTCAGAGCAGCCCCAGTCCATCAGTACAACCCCCTCATCTGACAGATGGAGCTACTGGTGGGATGGAGCTGTGCCAGGAGGGGAATTCTGACAACTGCAATCACTGACCCATTCAAACTCATTTCTCTGTGGTGCTACAGAAGCTGCTGCTGCCCTGGAAAACCTCAGCAAGCCCTGAACTCCTGGAGCCCGTGAGGTGGTGTTGGAACATCAGACCCAGGACTAGCGATGCCAAAATAATTTAAGAGCCTTTTTTTCGCAGGGAAAAAAACCTCGCTCCCAAACTTACCATCTAAGAGCTCCAGAGTTACAGTGCCATCAACGTATTCCCACCAGTGCTTCCCGTCCGTGGAGACTGGGATCTCCCAGTTGGACCACTTACAGGCCAGGTGGATACAGACGCAGGCCACAACGGGCGGGGTGTACTGCAGGCTGAAGGTGGTCAGGTGCAGGCTGACGTCACCGGGAGAGAAAACAAAAAGCCATCAACTCCCACGCCTGAGCTGCAGATCCACGCGGGACATGGGGGGAAACGTGGCCCTCTGGACCTTCCCAGAACGACCCTCGGGCACAGCCAGCTCCATCCTGCTCCAGCACAGCGGGGCTTTGCGACCGCTCCGCTTGTCCGGGCCTGCTTTGCTACGGGGGATTTGGGTTTTCCACCACCACATTTTGTTCACAGCTTTTGTTACAGAGGTAATTTGGGAGCTTCTCTGAGAGGGAAAGTCACTGGGGACCTGCCGGCCCCAGCTGTGCTCCGAGGAGAAACTCATCCCTGGTTTGCTACAGGGAATTTGGGTTCTCCTCCAAAGGAGGAAAATCAGTGCTGAGGTCACCTGCCAGCCTCTGCTCTGGGCAGAAACTCGTCCTTGTTTTGCTACAGGAAATTTGCAATCTCCTCCACCAATTTCCCTGTTTTGATGCAGGAAATTTGGGATTCCCCTTCAAGGGAGAAAGTCACTGGGGATCAGCCCCACCTCTGCTCTTGGAGAGAAATTTGTACGTTTTTTTGCTCATCCCTGTTTCGCTACAGGGAAGTTGGGATTTCCCCCATCTCTGTTCATTCTTGGTTTGCTACAAGAAATTTGGGATCTCCTTCACCGGTTTCCTTGTTCATCCCTGTTTTGCTACAGAAAATTTGGGATGTCCAGGGATGAAAGTCAGTCCTGGGGTCACCTGCCAGCCCCACCTCTGCTCTGGGGAGAAACTTCCAAGCACAACTCCTGGATGGCAGTCAAGGAGCAAACCTGCCTTTTTCAGCTTTACCAAGGGTCTGCTCACTCCCAGGGGATTTTTAGGGAGACACTTTATGTTGGAGTCACTCAGGAGAACCTGAGCCAGGTAACCTATCAAACATTTTTATTAATAAATTGATTTTCCACGTGGCCACGAGTGCTGGGAAGCGTGGGCAGCACCAGGACCAGGAGAACTGAGGGACTACGAGGATCCTACAGGAACACCAGAGCTTTAAGGAAACAGAAGCAAGTCTTGAGTGTGGGATTTGAATGTGGGTCCTGAATGGGCCCTTTGGGAATTCTGCCACCGAGCCCCCACACGACACCATCTCCTCACCACCCCATTCAACGTTTTTTCATCAGTAAAAAGTGGAGAGGCTGAAGTTTGGCATCTACAGCAAAAAATCCTCGGGTTTTGTGGATACTGGGTTTATCCAGAGAAGTCAAACCCAGGAAAATCAGAGCCTTGGCAGAGCAAACTCGAGGACAACAAAAAGCCCCAGAACAATGCCAGAACGAAACCAAAGGGAACGCAAGGATAAATCCAGCTCATCCCAGAACTTGCTCTCTCAAGCAAAACTGAGGCTCTTCTTCACACTTTCTGCCTGGATTTCCCTCAATTACAGCCTTAACTCCTAATCCCACAGCTTTGAAATTCTTGCTGCAGGGATAAAACAGGTTTCAGGGCTTTGTTTACCCAAACATCACCAACACCACATTCCTGAGGCCGGAAATCCACGGGGCGCCCTTTGGAGCCTGAAACACCTTCAACAAACAGTGAAGGTGAGCAGGGAACACCTCCCAGGTGGGAAAAGGGAAACCACATGCCCAGACATTCCCAGGCAGGGCTTGGAGGCACCTCTAGCCCTGCACCTTCACCTGGCACCTAAAACCACTTCTCCCTCCTTCATTTCCCAAAAACTCGGTGTTTTCCACGTCCACGATTTTGTCTGTTCCAAACATTAACTCCATGGTTTGTCTGAAGCCGATAATCCAGGAAATTAACTTCAAAAAATAATCCCAACAAAAGTGCTGGCATCAGGCTGGCAGTGAAAATTTAGAGACAAAACAAATCAGAGAAAGAATCTGGGGCTAATTTTTCATTTCCAGAGAAAATTTAACGGCTAAACAAGCCAAACTAAGAACTTAGGGCTTATTTTTCTTTCCAAGGGAAACTTAGGGGTTAAAACAACCCATACAAAAAACTTGGGGTTGATTTTCTTCATTTATGCCCCAAATCAGCTTTTTTTAGGGTACAAACCATATTCATGGACAATTTCCACAGCACCTTATTGAGTGAAATTTCTCCAACACCCAGGAATAAGTAAGGAAAAATTTATATATTAATTTCCCCTCCATCTCTTTGGTTTGTTTGGTGTTTTTTTTTTAAATTTCTCAACTAAATTCCCATCAAATAAGCAGTAAAGCTCCTAAATATCCTATCTACCTTATTTTCCAGCTCATTTTACCCAGCAGCTGACAGGAAAAGTGGCTGGAACCCTTTCTTAAGGCTCTTCCTGCAGGATTCCCAGTTGCTTCCAGACTGAGCGATGCCCTTGGGGCCACAGGCAGCAGATAAATTATCAATCAATTATAAAATTATAAAATAATAACCTGTTTGTAGCCATGAAATAGGAAGTTTGTGCCAAGTCCTTGCTGGCTGCAAGAAAAAAAACAAGGAAAAAAGCAAGTGTTATTTTCATATTTTCATATTTTAGTGCAAGGACCATGGGCCACCCACAGATTGATCAGCAGGCCACAGCCACAAGGATTTAGGGAACTGCTGTTCACTGAGAGCTTTGTGTGGTTCAGAAGAGCCAGAACCATCTAAAACTGCTGCTGTTTTGAGAATCAGAGGGATGGATCAGCTCTCCTGGGAGGAAAAGCTGGGAGAATTGGGATTGTTCAGCCTGGAGAAGGCTCTGGGGTGACCCTGTTGTGGCCTCTCAGGTTCCAAAAGAGCCGAAGTGGGACTCTGGATGGGACCTGGAGTCAAGGGGGAATGGTTTTTCACCTGGAAAAGGTGAGATTAAGATGGGATATTCCTCCCTGTGAGGGTGGCCCTGATTTTCCAGAGAAGCTGTGGCTGCCCCATCCCTAAAAGTGTCCCAGGCCAGGCTGGAACAACTTGGGCAAGTGGAAGTTGTCCTTTTCCTCCCAATCCAACTCATCCCAGGGTTCTGGGAAGCTCTGGAGCAATCCCAGCTGGACACTCCCCCTTATTTTCCTCCCAGTTCCCTCTCACCTCGGACAAGCTGGGTGCACTTCACCACATGGGTGTGAGGATGGTCAATAGTGATCTCAAACCCTGCAAGGACACAGACAAAGGACCATCAGAACAAGCAGCACAGCCTTGGGTCCGTGTTTCCTGCACCCCTTCCCTCCTACAGCCCTGCTTGGAGCCAGGCAGGAATAGAGGAGCCCGTTTTTCCTGTATCCAGAAGCCTCAAGTTCTCCAGCTACAAACCCAGACGGTCTCTGGTGCTGCCAGACCTCCCAGCTTCTGAAAGGCCTCACTGGAAACAAAACAACTATTAAGGATTTTAAAAATAGCAGGACAAAGCCTCTTGAAGCAGCTGGGAGGAAGGCGAAGACAATGGCATCTGCTCCAAGGAATTTCTCTCACCCAAAAAGCTGAGAGGAAGCAGATTGTTTTCCCTTTGAATGGGCCTAAAGCATTGAGGACAACTGAGTTTAATCCTCGCTCCTGCTTCCTCCTCAGTTTGGGAATTATGTTTGAAAGGGGGAAAAAAGAATTCCAATTGGTCCATGTGCACAGCAGATCTGCAGAATGTTCTGGGAGAACTGGGATGTTTTAAAAAGGCCTCTGGAAAACTGAGCAGTTGCAGAACTGGGCTTGGTTTAGCCACAGGCTTGTGGTCCACGACACCTCTGCCTCTACTGAAGGAGGGACACGGGGTGTCTGCTCTGAATCCAGTCAGGAATAACAAATCCTGCTCTTTTGGAGGGAAAATCTACCTACAAACTGCCTCTGAAACAGAACATTTGTTAGTGAACAGAACTTTTAACAGTACATTTGATAAAGAAACAGGGGACCAGCTCCACCAGCCACAGCCCTATGTGGAGACTCCTACTTCCAAAAACACCCAGAAACTCTTCCTGGTTTGTTGAGTTTTGGGGATTTTTTCCCCCCATTTAATTATTTGATTAAAATATTCACTTTTAACCCATTTTTTAAGACATCTCTCAGTACAAACTGCTTCCTGCAACAGAACTGGAGCATTATAGCCTGGAATTCGATGGTCTTTAAGGCCCCTTGAAACCCAAACCATTCCATGATTCTATGACTGAGCCAGAAAGCACAACCCAGGACAAGGGCAGGTGTCCAAGCAGCACAAATTTTCTTAGGAAAAAAAAAACCAAAGAGACCAACCACACTTAAATCTCTCAGCACTGAGCCTGGCACAAGTTACACCTGAAAAACTGATGCTAAAACAGGAGTTGGACTGAAAAAACAGGGTTTGTTGTGTGGACTCTGTGGAAGGAGTGAGGCTCTCCAGCCTGTGGAATTCTCCTGGCTCTGGGATTGGTGTGGCAGTCCGGCCGCTTCGAGGAACTTACCCAGGGTCTGTAGGATTATGCTCTCTAGAATGACCAGGTCTTGGGCTTGTTGCAGGTAAGCCTGGGGTTGAGAGGACAGGCAGGTTACTCACGGAGAGGCACTCGGATCAAGCCTGCACATTCCTAACACCCTTCTCTCCGGGGCAAAAACGGGAATCTCCCTGCACGGGGGGACTGGCACAGATTCCCTGGAAGTGCTCAAGGCCAGGCTGGATGGAGCTCAGAGCAAGCTGGGCTAGTGGAAAATGTCCCTGCCTATGGCAGGTGGGTGGAATGGGATGGGATTTAAGATCCTTCCAATCCAAACCATCTGGAGATTCTGAGAAAGAGGGATCAGAGTTTTTTGGGGGGCCCTGGGTGCTGGTCTCCCACACTCCAGGGGTGGCATACGAGCAGTGCAGGAATCAGCTGCTTTTCCTGACTTTTCTTTTAATTTTTTGTAAGTTTTCCTGGAAAAAGCTGCCCCTTCCAGCAGGACTCGCTGCTCAGCTCCAGCTAAAAGGGGCTGTCTGGAGAGATGAGGGATCAGCAATGTTTTTTACCCACTGAGACAGGAGTTGGGACAAACTGCTCCCACAGTGGAGCTCCTCTGCTCCACACCTGCATCCACAGCCTCCTCAGCAGCACTCCAGGGACACTGGCACACCTGGATCCAGGTGTGCAGCAGAGGAGAAAAGGCTTTGTACAGAGCAGGGAAGCCCAAATCTCCCTGTAGCAGGAGAGGTTGGATTGAGAAGCTGCCCCTGAGCACCTCGGGAGAGTGGAGGAGCCGCCGGAGCCACGCGATTCCGGATGCCATTCCCGCTCCTCGGGCCTCCAGCGCTCACAGCACATCCCAAGGCTCTGTCCCCACACTTACCTCACTCTTGGTGTCCAGCAGAGGCTCCTGGGGGTGCAGACAGGCATGTGCCACCTTGATGACATGCTCCAGCTTCCGGGGCTGCTCCTCCACCTTGGCTGCCAGGAAAAGTGCTGCAGGCACCACCGACTGTGGAGGAAAACACTCAGTTTGCTTAAAGAGCCGCTAAATTCAAGATTACAGCAAATAAATCACATGGATTCTCAATATTCCTTCAGGAAATGAAGGCTCTTCAAGTCTGGCCACCACCAGGAGAGAAAAAAGGATTCATCTCCCTTCCCAAACCTCCTCCAAGGTGAGTCCCTGGCCCAGGCAGCAGCAGGAGTGGATTTGGGGGGTTCCCAGTGCCCCTCACCCCCCAGATCCCAGCACTTACATTCCTGTGGAACTGGGTGAAGGACTGCACCATGTAGAAGCGATGCATGTACACGATGGCTGTGTTGATGGTGAGCTGAGAGCTGGGAACAGCGTTAAGGGAAAGCACAGAGACCCCTGGGCTTGCCCAGGGGAGCCACTGGAGCAGACCCCACACACCAACAGCACCAGGATGGGACAGGCTCTCCTCATTCCCAGGGTAAGCCTTCCCTGCATCCCAGCACAGCTCTACCCACTCCTGAAACAGGCTCTCCTCAATCCCAAAATGGGCTTGGCGCTCCCCATTCCAAAGCTGAGCCTTCCCAACAGCCCAGGAGAGCTCTCCCTCCTCCCAAAACAGGGTCTTCTTGATCCCAAACAGGCTCAGCTCTCCCTGCTCCCTGGACGGTCCTTCCTGATAATCTGGCACAGCTCTCCCTGCTCCTGAAATCATTTTTGGGATCTCCTTGATCCTAAAATAGGCTCAGCTTTCCTAGACACTCGTGGACCGAGCCTTACCGAGCCTTCACAACACGCCGGTACAGCTTTTCCCACTCCCCTAACCGGATTTCCTCAATCCCAAAACGGGCTCGACTCTCCCCGCTCCTAAGCCAGGCCTTCCCAACACACCAGCACAGCTTTCCCTGCTCGTGAAACGGGATTTCCGCGATCTCGAAAGGGGCTCGGCTCTCCCTGCTCCCGGCCTGGCCGTGTCTTCCCTTCCCCGCATCCCGGCACTGCCTTCCCCACTCCCGAAACCTCCTCGATCCCAAAACGGGCTCGGCGCACCCT